GCATTCGTAAGGCTACATAAAATGTAGACTTGAAAGCCACACTTTGTGGCCTTTAATGCGACACTTTTGTAGAAATTTTTTCGGCATGATTGTTGCATTTAATCAATGGCTGTATATATACGCTCTTTTTGCGCGACAAAACTGTTGTAAAAAAACCTCAAAATTAGTGTTGCGCTAAATGCAACACTATAGTTTATACACTAATCTGTGTTTTTCTAGACGTTATAAATGTTTTGATTTTTTGTAAGTATATTTATGCGTGATTTATTCCGCCCATTTAGGTCTTCACGTACTATGTATATAACCGGGCGCAATTAAATTATTCTAAATATTATACTAAATTACACATTGTCATTTAGAGTCATATACTAAATTACATATGTATATTATATTGGCTTACAAGAAATAACGGAACGATATCACAATAAAATAATAAAAACTGAAATATAAATTTTATTTTAATTCCGAGTCAATGCATTGTTATAGTATTTCTTTTAAGTATATAAACTCAGTTCAAACTCAAACTCAATTCAGTGAATATTAAATTAAAAACAAGTCTTAAAACATTTATATGCAAAAGCGAGTTAAAACTTTGAAAAATAGATACCGCCGTCAGAGAAGAACCGTATGTCAACATTTTGTGTGTGTTTTTTTTTTGTCCATTATCAATAAATATTCAGGAGTGTGTGTTCCATAAATATACCACAACAATAAAATTTTAGGAAATAATTAAATAATCAGTCGAATTTTCTGGCAGAAAGTCTTCGCGAATTAAAATTTAAAACTTGATTTTCTTGGAAACACAAAAAAAAAAGACGGCCTCTTGGTTCTCGACTGACGATATAACAAAAATAAACAAGAAAGTGATAAAAATACTTTTTCGTTTCACAAACATATTGCTTAATTTAATCTTAAACTTTTGGCAATACTTTCTTTACAAGGAATTGACGATAATTTTTTTGCTGTTTATTCCAAGCAAATTTCCCATAAAAATATATACACAAATAAGTTCATGAGGAAAATTGACATTAAATACATAATAAGAGACTAGCAGCAACTCAAAAGCAAATCTAATACTCGGTATGGCTTCCAACCGTATAGCTGTATTATCAACTTATAATTAGAGTTATAATTAGAATTATAAATAGAGTGCCGCAACACTTGAATAAAATCAGTAAAAAAACTTTCTCCTTCTTCAATAACTCAAGGGAGCTTTTTTCTTTCAAGACTGAAGTGTACCTAAATGTTTAAGAAAAATTTTAAAAATGCAGAAAATACAAAGCTCAAAAAAGTAATACTTTTTGATTATAAACCAAATTTAACTTTAAAAAAAATGTATAGAAAAAACTTACATCCATTTCTCTATAAAATAAAGCCAAAATTGCATCAAAATCCATTCTTGGACTTTTCTTGCCCTTCTGTGGAGGTGCTATCATAAGAAAAGGGAGCGCCTTAAATGCAAGCAAAGTTGTATCTTCTAAATAAAAATAAAAATAAATCAGGGAACAACTTGTATATACTTATAAACCTTTATAGGTAGATTATAAAAAAACCTTCTTTTGGATTAAAAGGGTATATTATGTAAGGAACTAATAAATGAAACAAGATGAGAAAGAGAAACTTCGCACTTTAGCAGATTGGCACATAGTCAAGTTGCAGCAGCTTAGTACTTATGCAGATTGACAATTATGTTGTAAAAATTCTTATTTAAGTTATAAAGTTCTTATTTATTAATTCTCCCCACTTAGGGTAGTAGACATATATATACCTTCATTATATTAGTCTTCTGACAAAGTATTTTTGAACATTGAATCTCTTGCTAGTAAAAAAATGTTTTGTTTGCAAGTGTTAAAGCCATCATGCAATGTAATATTACTTGATACCTCTTCAATGAAATAAAACTATCTTTGAAATTCCCTCATTAGTTTCATATCTAGGAGGGCCCATGTTGCATGTTTCAGAAATTACAAAAAGAGAAATTTTTTCTAAGTGTTTATTTTGTTTATATAATGTGTCAAGAAAGTAGTGTTATACATTGCAATAAGCCACTCAAGTGAGTGGCTCATTGCAATGTATAACACTACTTTCAAACTTACTCTTAAACAATAATAGAGTGGAATCTGCTCTAATGTCATTGAAAACTGATAAAGCAGCATTACCAATATCATTGCTTGAAATAACAGGTGATCAATGATCAGCAATGTTTGAAGAAATTTCAAAAAATTCAAGGAAAATCTATTTTTGTGAAATTGGCAAGCTTTGAAAAACTATTTCGAGCGCTGCAATATAGGAAACTAATGATTATGAAATATTGTTAACAGAAACAATTACTTCAGGTATAATGTAATAAGGAACACTGCTGCTTGTTCACAATGAAGAAACTAACAAAGGATCAATATATTCTATTGTTTTTTCAGGATAAGTGTAAACTTAATAAGTAGAATTCTCTGGGAAACTAGGCAACAAATATTCTAAAAAATTAGGCAATAAATCGTTACGATTATCATTTAATGGATTACTATACATTTTGCCTCAGGATTTTTATCAATGAAATCATTATCAATATTATGGTAACATTTTACATGTCTAATTAGCGACATATAAGCTGTGCAGGTACATTTACAGCCATTCTGTAAACATTTAATTGGATAAACAATTTCGCCAATACTATTATGACGTTGAAGATGATTTTGAAAAAAAATTAATAGTTTCGTAAAAGTACCACATATATAGCAAATAAACATTTTAATAACTTTTATCAGAAAATTATATATATATATATATATATATAAAATGTGTAAAATAAAACCTATATTTTACACATTTTTTTTAGACTAATGTTATTATTTTATATAATTAATGTTAATATGTTATAATTTTTATAACTTCATAATAATGTTGTTAACGTAACTAAAATAATTTTATTAACATTTTAATACAATATATATATATATATATATATATATATATATATATATATATATATATATATATATATATATATATATATATATATATATATATATATATATATATATATATATGTATATATGTATATATATATATATATATATATATATATATATATATATATATATATATATATATATATATATATATATATATATATATATATATATATTATATATATATATATATATATATATATATATATATATATATATATATATATATATATATATATATATATATACAATAATAGCATTAGTCTAATTAAATAAAGTCACACAACTAATTCATGTAGTAATGTACCGAAGGTCTTACCTAATTTTTAACAACTGAAAATCGATATTTTCCTCGCTTAACATATTTAATACGATATTACTAAAATATTACAAACCAAATATTTCTTTATGAAAAAGTTAACTAAGTATGTGTTTAAAATTACCATGCAGCAATAAAAGTTACACTAAAATTTTCAGTAAAACTGAACGGTTCATAAAAAAAAACATGTCGCTAAAAACATGATTCTAGCCTCTTTTCCAAATAATTCGATACGAGAATCCAAGAAAGTGCAACACAAAGTGTGGCTTTTTTTACGCATATAATGAAGTTTAATTTCATAATTACAAGTGTGGCTTTAAAGCGCACAAGCGTAGCCTTGAAGTCCACAATTTGTGTAGCCAAAAAGACGCTACACTAAGTGTCGTGTTTTTTGTCCACACTATTTTTAAGCGTGTAGTGTTTTAATTTTTTTTAGATTTTTTTAAAAACAAATTCAAATACTTATAAAGTTTTATAGATATTGTATATAGACAACATATGTAAAGATATTAATCAAAAGTTTGATCCTCGCATTTTGACACAGAACCAACTTCGCTAACGAGAGAAAAAAAATCGTTCACAAGTTTCAAAATTTTGTTTTTTCGTGAAGTCTTTTAACACTTAGTTTCCAACTTTCTTGACATATTCCAAGTCTTTTTGAGAAAAAACTTTGTTGATCAAATATACAAAAACAGAAATTCAGCTTTTTTGTATATGATAAATATCGCTGTGGTACAAAGTGCCAACCTAGGTTTTTTAAACAAAATGACAATCGAGTTTTACTTCCAAGCGGTTTTAATCACGACGAGGCTTAGTTAAATGCTTAGTTAAATACTTAAAAAAAGATAAAATTTAAGGCTTAAAAAAAGAATTTTTTACAAATTTTTTCTTACATCTCTTTAATCCTTGACTTTTGGATTTAGATTTATTACATTGATAGTAACATTATCATATTATTATTTTTAGATTATTACATTGTTTGATATTTTTTTTAGAATTTAGATAAAAGCGACAAAAAAAAATGGTGACTCTAAAATCCTTTAGGATTTTAGAGTCACCATTATTTTTGACATAAGTTGCAAGAAGTGTCTCACAAATGCCATTTATGTTAAAGTTAGTGTTTACGCAATCAATAAGTTTAATCTTCGTATCTAGGACATTAAAAGTTATCATTTAGATGTTTTCATTTGATTGAGATTTTCTTGCGTTATAAACCAAATAATAGTTCTTATGAACTGTAAGCACGCGGATAAAGTGTGCATCGATATCCTAAAGACCCGTATTTTACGGGTCATGACAGCTAGTTTTGAATAATATTCAAGAAAAACATTAAAAATGGCGCAACGAAACGGCAAAGAACAACTTTTTTATAAACTTTATATTAAATGAATGGAGTTCTACAAGAATGAATGGAGTTATGATATACAGCAAAAAAAACTTTAAACTTTAGTTGTTTAGAAAAATAAAATTTTGATTTTTTAAAAATTGTTTTAGTTGTCTTTTTAATCAAATGCCGTGCTATGACTTGACGCAAGAAAAAGCTTAAACTGACATATGCTTTTAAAATCACGTGGTTCTATTTAATTACCGAGTTTTGATAAAGCTTTTGCTGAATAATTACAATTACTAATGGTTAAAACTATACAGCATATTTCTAGAATTATTCATATTTTAATAAAAATGTGAGTAATGAAAGTGAATTTTGTTGTTTATTGTCCAGTGAAACTTGTTTTTTTTTAATTGTCGGTTTAAAGCATACTCCCGAGACATCTTGAAATTGCTTTGATGTTTGCGGCTCGATGAACTTCCATCTGTTTTATACTTCCATGGTATAAACTAAATAAATGAATTCAATAGGCCGGGTGAATAAAAATGAGCTATTGCTTTTAAAAATTTCAGCAATTTTGCTTAGGTTTTTATTCACGTAAAGCTAAGCAATTACTGAGTAAATTGCTTAACTTTACGTGAATTAAGCCCGTTCTCCATTCAGAACTTTTTGCGCTTTGGAGGAGCGGAAAAGTTCTTTGAGCATGCGCAAAAAGATCTGATTGGAGAACGGGTTTAAAAAAAACTCTTTGCGCATGCTCAAATAACTTTTCCGCTTCCCCCAAAGCGCAAAAAGTTCTGAATGGAGAACGGGCTTAAAAATCTGAGCAAAACTGCTAAAATTTTTATTTACGTAAAGCTGACCAATTACTGAGTAAAGCAATTCCTTATTTTTATTCACCCGGCCTAACAGCAAAAAAAATTTTTTTTTTTTACTACTTCAATAAATTTATACATCGTTACGTTATACATGACATAATATAATGCGACGTAAAAAATATAACATAATAATACCACGCATAACATATCATAATAAAAAGTGGTTTAACAAATATAACTAAGTATAGCGTAAATTAATAGTGTTTCTTATCATAAAAACTACCAGTATTTTTTTAAAAACAAAAGAATAAAAATAAGAAAAGTAAAAAAAAAAAAAACAAGAAATTTTTTGTTACTTCTGATATATATGCTGTTGTGAAGGAAAACTCGTAGAATAGTGCAGGTCACTATGTTTCAAAAAACTATTCGTGTGCACATACATGTTACAAGCAAACTTTTTTTGTTGATATAAGATCCTTGTATAAAAAGGATTTGAAAAGTGATAGGTGTCACCTGATATCTATGGCTTATGTCACGTGGTATGACGTAATAGGTCCGCATAGCAAAATAAAATTTTATTCTTTATTAGAAAAATATTTTATGACATTAGAAATATCATTAAATAAGCTTTCAAAATCATATAAAAAACATGTTGAAAATTTTTACTTCGTAAGGTATAGAACGTTATGTAAGTTACAAAACCGGAGGGCATTTACAAAAATTACCACTAGGTAAAAGATAAATTAAATAAAACTGAAATAATTGAGTTAGTATATATAATAATATTGGCATTATTTAAACATATAAATAATAAAACATATAAACATATGTAAACCAAAATAGTATTTACAATATAAAATGTTTAATGAAGAGAAAAAAGGACCCTCGGAAAATATTTAATTGACAATATCAAGTCAATTAACCTTGTAATATAAATGAAAGACATTTATTGAATGAGAATCTTCAATTATTCTAAGATTTCATTCTTAAACTCTAAAATCTTCTAAATGTTGAAAATATATGTTAAAATTATCGTGCTTACAAGCTGGTATTTAATAATGCAAATAAATTAAATTGCGTCTTATAAATCTCTGCATTCATAGTCATAGCTTTTCTTTTGATTGTCTACATTATTATTTTTACATTCTTTACACTTGTACATATCAGTACAGACAAGTTTATTTTTCAAACATTTGCACCTTTTATTATTACAGTCTCCTTTACAACGACTGACACTCAACTCCATAAGTGCTATTGGTGCTCGCAGGTTATCAGTAATTATGGGGTCAAAAGATCCATTGTTTGTTTAGTTCCACCATACTCCACAGGCGATGGTAGATACTGTATATGGTAGACACTTACTTTCAATTGTTTCGTAATTGAGATGTTTCGTTCCTTATCCCCTCTATCAGTTCGGAAAATTGTGACACGCGGCAGGACTTGATAAAAATGAACTAAAAGTAGAAAAATATCAGTATCTTGTGAATGCACAACACATTTTTTAATGGGTTTTCTTTTGCAACTTCTATGGCATGCAGAATTAACAGAGCATCAGCCTCTTCGTTCTCATGATTCATTATTTCTGCAGATAGATGTTCCATATTTGCTTCTGCTGTTTTTGAATATATTACAATGAAGCGAACTGCACTACCTATCATATTTTTCGTATATTCAGCAATGTATTAAGTAAGAGCTTGCTTTGTTTCAATGTGCCCCAAAAACTGCTTTAGCAATGTGCCCCAATAACTGCTTTTAGACTTGTCATCAGTTACTTTATATTTGATTTCATTGTCAGAGGTGCGTTTTTTTCTTGTTCTAGACTTTAATGAACGTTCAATGTGTCTGTCGAAAACCAATCTTATCTCTTCGCAGTTTTGAGATACTTTTCTAAGTATGCTAATCAATATTGCAGCGAAATCCTGAATAATTAAACAAATATGAGTATTTATGCTGTATAAGATGCTGCATATGTATCGTGCGTATAGGTATGATCAAGGCAAATATAACGTTACTATTCGTTGAAAAATATTATAAGCTGATGTCAGTTAACTTATCAATTATACATACAGAGTTATTACAGTGAATAATACAATAAATAACATAAGTGTTACCTTCCAAGTTTTAATACTGTTATCTTTATGAAGTTTATTGACAAGGCCATGCCATCAGTAATGACAGTTGATGCATTTACCAAGATTTCTTGTTCTTGTGTCAAAATCTCTAATCTTTTTGACAAGTCTTCAACTTCATGCAGAACTTTTTCTTTATCAGAGGTGATCAATGGGTGACAATTTTGAGTAAACATCGATTTTGGTGCAACTGAAAAGTCATAGCTACCGATCAGGGCTGGACTGGGCCGCCGGGACACCGGGACGATTCCCGGTGGGCCGCCTGGTTTTTAGCAGGTTGTTTTGATTTGCTTTTGACTTCAAACGCGATTTATGGCTAGCGATAATTATGCGATACCATCCGCAGTGAAATATTTCGTATTTTTAATGATTGCACTTTGTGAAGTGAATCTTTTGAAGTGACAGGTCGTGTAACGGTGAAAACGGCATTTGAAAACAGTGTGTGAAACTACGTGTAGCATAAAGTGAAAAGTTGATGATTGCGTATTCGGGAAGCGGGAGCGATCGGAGCGATCGTTGACCACGGAAATAATATTTAGTTGCGAAAAACTGGCCAGATTTTTTAGTCGTTTTGAGAACATTTCATTTTATGTATGTTTCCATGTTTGTCCGCACAATAGTTATAAAGTTAAAATGTAAACTTAAATGGGCCTCTAATATTATAGTCTTCTCCTTACGTATATATTTGATAAGATGAGTGAAGATTTGAAGCGGAAAAGTAAAGGCGGGGCAGAAAAGCAACGTGAAAAGAAACAAAAGCTTCTTCTTCAAGGGGGAGAAAAGTGTAAAAAGATAACCGAACTTTTTAGACTAAGTACCCCCACCCAGTTTGGTGGTGATACTCTGATTGATGATTTAGGTTCTCAAATTTCTGACGGCGATCAAGCCGGTCCTGCCGTCTCAGCCTCCGTGAGCTGCACTATGCTAACTCCATCCCAGAAATCTGTATCCTCTGACTCCCGGCCTCAGAATCAGTGTTCGGAAATTTTCATGCGTCCACAATCGCAGTGCCTTGAATCATTTTTCAAGAGTCATCCGGTTCAACCAAAAGAGGATGGGGAAAATTTACCATTTTCAAAAATTTTCCATGTTCGTCGAGTGTTTTATAGAAGCCAAGACGATATCAATAGGGTTTGGCTTAATTACTGTCACAGTTCGAAGGCCATGTTTTGCACATTGTGTCTGGCCTACAGCAAAGCTAGTGAATCCAATGCATTTACTGATGGCATGAATGATTGGAAGCATGTTCACCAACGAATCGAAGAACACGAATCGAGTAAACACCGTTGCAGGAGTGTAGAGGCACACATTATGTCGAGCAATGACAAGGACGTATATAGCTTGCTTTTTTCAAATCAAAAAAATGTGAGTTAAAGAAAAACGGCAAGTTCTAGAACGTGTGATAGAAATTGTTAAACTTATTGGAAAGCGAGGACTTAGTTACAGATCTATCAATGACGCAGCCTAGTGTCTGGACAATGTCAATATTGACCACGGGAACTTTTTAGAAATTTTAATCCTTCTGTCTAAATTTGACCCGCTTATGAAAAATCATCTTGACATCGTGACGGAGAAAAGTAAGCAACGACATGTCACGTGCGCTGCATCAGGAACGAAGGGACGAGGAGGGTTAGTAACATTTATTTCAAGCACTACTGTCAATTATGTAATTGAATCTGTTCGCCGTATGATTAAGGCATCGATTGCAGATGAGATTCAATCGGCAGGAATGTTCTCCGTGCAACTGGACACAACGCAAGATGTTAGCGTAAAGGATCAATGCTCGATTGTAATCCGATATGTTAAAGACCATATTTACGAGCGACTGGTATCCGTCAGCAATTATACTAATTCGACAGACAAGGGTATGTTCGAGCTGTTCCGGGATGAAATTGTCAAAATGGGCATAAACATTGAAAACTGTGTGGGAAACTCTACAGACGGAGCGGCAAACATGCAGGGCCAATATTCCGGTTTCACAAAATGGCTCAGTGAGGCATCCCCAAACCAAGTGCATGTATGGTGTTACGCTCATGTATTGAATCTTGTTCTTGTTGATACCACACAAACCACCATAGCTGCTATCAGTATATTTCAGCTTATAAACAAATGTGCTGTTTTCTTGCGCGAATCATATATACGAATGGACATATAGGCGTCAAAACAATCAAACAATAGAAGACTAAATGTAATTGGCGAGACACGCTGGTGGGCAAAGGACCATGCATTAAAAAAAATATTTGGAAGCTTCAACAACCCATCGACGTCCTTATATATTGAGCTAATTGAAACTTTACAAGAGTTAGCCTCCTCTGAAGACTTTAACCCAACTGTTCGCGACACCGCCCAAACCCTATTAGATAAGTGCATCTCATTTGAAACAATTCTTACCGTTCAAGTTTTTTTGCGTATATTCCAACACACAGCATCACTTTCCAAGTACCTGCAGACAAGTGGGATGGACGTGCTCTAAGCCTACCGAAACGTTGACTGCACTATCAAGGCACTGCGAGACGTGTCCTGAGACTTTGATGGCATTAATGCGAGCGCTAAAAAATTTGTCAAGTGGGCCAACAACTCATTGGAAGATCTGAAAATTGATGTGACGGTTGAAGCTGCATTGCCAGAGAAACGAGTTCGCGTCCCAAAAGCAATGAGTGGTGAGCGACGCACTCACGAGGCTGTCGGAGATCGCGCAATTGATTGCTACAGGATGACGGTACACAACTGCGTTATGGACAAAGTAGTGAAAACTTTGGAAGAACGCTTTAAAGCTCAAGACACGTTGTTCGCTGACATGGCGTGCTTGAATCCGGAAAATTTCTACGATATCAAGAAAAACGGTATTCAACCTACTGCCTTAGTACGTCTCAGCAGCATTCTAACAAAATTTAATAAAGATGCAACAGCTTCAAATTTACAATCTGAACTCATCGACTTTTCGCTCAAGTGGAGCAAATTTAAGAAGACCGTTCCTGAAGAGTATTTGGGCATGAACTTAGCAGAAAACCGAAACGACAACGATGAATTGGAGAATGACGAGGAAACTGCAGTTTCTTCTTCGTTCTCTAAAGACAAAGAAGCTCATGGTAAATGCAAGAGTTGCAAAAATTGCCCCGTCTGTTGCTTCACGGTTTTACACAAATACAATTTTTACAGCAAAGCCTACACCCATTCGTACAATGCTTATAAGCTCTTGCTGACTTTATCGTCTACTCAAGTTGCGTGTGAACGGTCCTTTTCCAAATTAAAATAGACTGCGAAGTTCAATGTCGTCCACGCATTTAGAAGCTTTCATGCTGATGTCTGTCGAAGTAGATGTTATGGTTGGGCTGTCCAACGAAGACATCATCGACTCGGTTGCAGAAATCGCACCTGGGCTAAAAACACATCTGGTCCTTTGATCCACTACCATCCACATTCGGTAAGTTTCGATAATATGGCGTCAGAAACATTATGTTATTACGGACGTTACCAAATCATAATTGATGGGTTATTTTTTTTGTTAATATCGAGTGCAACACATTATAACCACAGAATTCTGGAGACAGCATGTATACCTTTTATGATTGCAATACAGATTCTATTGGTCGAATACAATTTTGCACTAACTATACCATGTAAAAGGTACGTGCTATAAATATTACTGTTAAAGCATCAAAGTCCATTATCAGATGTTTTTGTGCGACTTAGTCAAATAATTGTTTTGTAGTAGAGCAGAGAGCTTGCACATTATAGTATAGTTGTGACTTTTCGAGCGATATTTTCGACTTCCTATTAAAACATATTGAAACTTCTATATTATACCTGTATGGTAAATGGTAGCTATATACCTATATAGATATATATAAATATATATTATGCAAGAATAAAAATGTGAAGCAGTCTACAATTTGTAGGCCTTAAAAATGTCGCCGTAATTTTATCTAACTCCTGAACATGATACGAATTTTTTTGCTGCTGCTATGCAAGTCGGAAATTCCCAGCTGAACCCCCCCTCATCCTCCCCCGCCCCTTAATGACTTAGTATTGCTGTATGTGGGCCGGACCGCTTGGTTTACAGTCCCGGGCCGCTTGACCACCCCCAGTACAGCCCTGCATGTTCATGTGTACATGCATTATCATTAGTGATTAGCATACTTTACTAGCGCTGGAAATGTTTGAATGAAAAGTTTTTTAAAGGACTTCGATGTATCTGATTTAATTGGTTGGAAGTTTATAAATCTGATGAATTGACACTGAGACGATAGCAACTTCATTCAACAACAATCATTACCATTTGAAATTAAATCACGGCTGTTTCCGAGTGAGTTTTACGGCTTCTTGTTTTTTTTGGAAAATATTTATCTAGGGGGTGTTACTAAAACATTTATAACTTTTGAAATATTTGAGAAAATTTTGTTTTGTAAAAAGAATAAAAATAACAACAAAATGTTTCATCAGACGATATTTAATACAATAGTAAAAAAACTTCTTTTAGTTTATAAAAAACGCGACAAATGACGAACTTGGCTAAATTTTAGTAATTTCTTGTTATTTTTTATCAAATAAAAATCAGAAAAATATATTTCTGATAGTTATTATCAATTACACTCGTTGTTTTACTATTATTAAAATAAAAAAACCTTACTCAATTGCTTAAGGTTGACTAAAACAGTCTTTATTGAAGTTTGCAAGCAAACCGCATTTTTGCAACATTATGAAAAATGTCGTTTAAAGAGAGATTATCTGTTAAATGAGTATGTTTTTAAATACGAAAAAAATTCACAAAGTTGATAAATTCAACGCATTAAAAAATAAAGCCAGATGTCGATTTTGAAATATTTAGTCTTAACATTCTAAGCTAAAGCCTTTAAAAAACTTTAGCATTTTCTTTCTTTCTATGCATAGAGTTTTAATAATATGGTGTTGAGTTGTCAAAAAATAAAGACTCATTAATTCTAAAATAATTCATGACCGCAACTGTGTTAAAGTTTTTGAATTAACCTCACTTTTGGTAATAGAATTATTTAATGGCACTTAAATCAATCAATCTCTTCTCACAAAAAATAAAACATTTGTTTAAATATGCAAATAGTCAATTTTATTTGTTTGATGTGTTTTTGTTCTCATAAAAAACTGTTTTATAATAAGTTGATCTACTGATAAGTTCTTTAAGTAGAAAACGATTTTTGAACACCCAGTTGATATTAGATTTATGCTCCATTCTAAACCAGAAGATAAGTTTTTAGAAGATAGAAGATTACTTTTGTTCAACAAGATTAGAAGATAATCTTTCAACAGACTCACAATAGTAACAATAACTTTTACAAATTTTTTATTTAAAATGTATCTTTACACTAACTTGTTATTTATGAGACTTAACTTCTATTCTTTAACCAGAGAGAAGGTATGTTGCGGAGAGGTACTGCAGAGGTAGAACTAACTTCTGGTGATAATAATCAAATGGGCATCTCATATTTAAATTAAATGTTATATAAAATAAAAGACGATACATTTTTAAAATTAACTACAAACTTGTATTTTATACCATAGCCAACAAACTTACCAGTTGGTCTGCTCATAAGTTAAAGTAGTAAGCTATATTTTTACACCCATTTGATGCAAGACTTATGTACCATTCTTTAGCCTGGATGGTATTGCATACATATTTGTGACAACTTGTGAAGATAAGAATAAAATGGGCACCTATCTAATATATAAAATTAATAATAAAAAATAATAAATATTTTAAAAAACTTTTTTTTTTTTAATATTTAGACTAAATTTTATGACCACAAACAAGACAAAGGCCTTGTTTATAAAACGAATTTTCACCACGCTCAGAACACACAACACACTTTCTTTTAGAGGCTTGAAGCTTCCTATCAGCTTTGCTGTGCAATTCAAAGCGTTTTAAAACAAGACACAGCTTCTGTTCCTGATTTCTTACTGAATGCAACTGTCTTAATTCCTTATTTACACTATTATGCAAACACTCTCCCTCCTCTTCACTCAGCAACCCAATAGTTTTATGCAATTTTACAAATAGTGGCACATTAAAAATGAGTTCATGCATTTTTCGTGTGACTTTCTTTTGGAAAGCAAGCATGAAACTCGATAGCAAATAAATTTATATATTGATGAAGCTCAGTAATTTCGGCATCAGAAATAAATTTTCGCTTAAAAAGAATAGGTTGCAACTTATTAAAAACACTAAACACACGTACAAATCTATTTTTAGTAGCTTCATCATCAATAACACTACAAAGTTTATGGTGGTTTCTTAATACTATTTTGCAATGATTACCTACAAACACATTACCATGGTACGCTTGTCGCTCAACCTTCATATCTTCAAGGGCCTTATTAAGAGACCTCTCATAAGCCCACATGCTACTTTTGGATATTTTTTCTAGGTCTTCACACTCCATCTGCAATTTAATATATTCAATGTCTAAAACTTCGCGTTGTGCGCGTATAAAAGAAATTTTTTCAGAAGTATAAAGGTCAAGACATTCTATATCTTCACCCTGATACGCTAAACACTCATACATCTTTATGTCACACAATAAACTTTTTTCTGAATCACCAATAATTTCACAAAATTGATGAAACCATTTTTGGTACGTAACAGGCTGCACCCAATCAACATTGCAATCATATTTAGTAATTAAACACTTGAGCCTAGCACACATTTCTTGCTGTTTACAGGGTTTTTTTTTATTGGAGGAGTTTAGGGATATTTTTTCAAATTCGAAAAAATTGTTATTAAAAGCCAACCATTGTGCCTTTAGATTTGCAATGTCTACAAATTGATTTCCTAATAAACGCAAAGTTTCTGCTGTTTTAGAACATTCAACACTTTTAGCAGCCCACAATTCATTCATTCTCACATTCATATTATGCGACAAAGACGAATCAGCTTGACAATCTTACACTCCTTCAACAATAACTTATACAGTTTTAACACAACTCCTAACATAATATGTAAAACAGGTGGCACTACATTATTTAAAGTTATTATGGGGAATATCACAGGAGCAATAATTGATTTATGAAACTTACCTAGAGCTCTTAAGTTTCCACCTTGCCTATTTTCACACAAGTTCTCATTGTAAGCACCTTCCAGAGATAGTATTGTCCTCCTTAAGATGTTACAATTAGCAGGTGTGT